GGGTGATATATTGTAAGGAGAAATTAGATGCTAGTCTAAAGGTTTATGAAACTTCCTCCATCTCGATAGCCTTGGATGAAACTACTGTAAATTTGGCTCACTAAAAGTTGTCATCCTAAGGTAGTTATGGTGGTTATATGTAGATTATTGATCAAGAGTTTCACTAAGGTTAGAGCATGCTACTGGTGGCAAGTCTCAGTAATATAATCTGCTGGCTAGTTGTAGTAATGAATTGTGGATAATTTTTGTGGAAATCCTGCTTTTGATTGCACTAAGAAATTGATTTTTTAAGGAATAATTGTGGAAGTACTGTAAAGGGTTTATCATAGTGACCTGTTGTAGCATTTTGTTTCAGAGGTGCCTTTGACTAGAAAATGTTGAAGCCAGGTGCTTTACGTGAAACAGAGTTGTAAGTATTTAAAATATTGTGCTTTTGCACTTTAAAGATATTGGAAGTTGTTGTATGTTGATTTAAAGTGCAGAGGTTATTGTTGCAAATTACACTTGATTTGAATCAAGGTAAAAGAACAGGAAAACATAGTATTTTAATCACAATGAAAATATTTGCATGGCAAGATGTGAGAAAACATGTAAGTTTTTGGATAGACAATTTCCAGACATTTTGATACTAACAATATTATTCTTAGTTGTAAAGGCCTGTGGATAGTTTAAACAACTGGTTCTACAGTTTATATATTATGCACTCGCTTGTATATTATTACTGAAGCAGCAAACAAATAATTTCTTGCATCTGGTTACATACAATGCAATTTATTATGAGGATTTAACTACAACTGAGGTTAAACGGTGAAATTTTAGTGACCTATCTGTATAATTACATGTCTGCTGAGTTACAAATCAATCCACGACAAAATTAGTTGAATTATAACAGTTGTAGTGGAGAATTAATCCTTTTAAGTGAACTGCAGTGAAATAAATGATGAAAAGGAAGTTTGAAAAATTTTAGGCTTGGAGGTGATTACAACTCATGCCTCCCATTTACTAGTTTGGTGTCACTACCAACAGAACAACAAAGCCTTGTGTTGGGGGTGAGGCAAATTCGAAAGGTCTTGTGCTTTTAGTAGGTTCTTGGTACCTGAAAGGGATCTAATCACATTCAAGTGTAATAAAAAGTTCTTTAACACTTACGCACAAATGTAGCAACTTCCAAGGAGGTATTAAATGAGGTTTATAGTAAACAA